CCGCGCTCGTTGGCCGCAAGGCGCCCATACTAAAGATGGCCGCGCCGGCCTCGGAAGTGACGTCACGGCGCGAGGGGCGATGCTGCCATGGTGGTGAAGGGGCGGGAAGCGCGACCGGGGGCGATGGCCGCGGGGCGGAGCCGGCCCAGCGGGGAGACACGGGACCGACGGAAACCCGGCTGACAGGGTAAGGGTTTTCGCATGGCTGCAGCAAAAACCAACCAGCGGCGACGTGACTTGACGCTCTGAGCGCTACGGGGGCCAGTTGCTTCCTTAGACTTTAAAAGCCTGGTTTCAGTAAACCTAGCAAAGGCACCTCGCGTTCCGCCAGGCAAATCTGCTTAACACCACAATATAAAAACTGGTACAGGATGGTAATATTCTCCCTATCATACAGAGATGAAAGCAGTGCTCTGTATAGAAACTTAAAAGCATGAGAATAAGTGAACGTTTGTGTTTCTAACCAAAGGAGTATTTGCCTAACATTCCATAACTACAAAAACAACAAACTTAGAATTGTGACCGTACAAAAGCAGCAGAACATCAGAGGCAGACACAAGTTCACAGAGCTGTTTCATTTCCAGCCCCCGTGGTGCTTCTCAGGATGACAGATCATTGCGCTGAAGGGGAGCGCAGCGCAGAGTTTCGGGATTTGCTGCTGGAAAAGCTTTGAGTGCTGCTGTACAGCTGAATTTAGGGAGTTAAATATACTGTTTATTGGAGTGCCCAAAAACAGACGTTTTCACGCGAACAGGAAAGGGGTTACACAACACAGGGAGATGCTTTGTAAAGGTGTTAGGCAGCACAGGTCAGCTTCCCAAATCGTATTCCCAGTGTAGTGTAGTGTCACTGCACTCCTGGTAATGCAGTAAGCAGCTGAAATGATTGACAACGCATACTGAGGAAAAAAAACAAGGGAACAAGGACCTCTCAAGGATTCCAGAATTACCATAACACTGTAAAACACGGAGCATCTTTGGTTCTTTCTAGCAAAATACAGTTGGCATAATATTAATATTTATGTACAATAAAAAGTCCATCACACCTCTACTTGCATGACCAAAAGTGGTAAAACTGGGCCCCAGCGTTCTTCCCTTAGCTGAACATTCACGTAGTTAACACATAATACCTAAAGCCAAATCAAATGAAGAATGTGGATAGTTTACATCAATACTTCCAACTAATTACCTTCAACATCCTTGACACCAAACGACTTGCACTCCTTAACTGACAGACTGTGCCACAGGCTCTTCAAGCAGAAGCAGGACTCGGCTCCAAGATCCTGTACTTGGAGTTTCAAAGACTGGTGCTAGCATGGCTGCTGAACAAACGCTGAGCCCAGCCGCAGGGGAGAAATTCAGTAGCAGCAGGACAGATTGTTGCATGTATCGGGAAAAAACTTTGTGCTGACAAGTCTAATATTTCTACAATACTAAGTGACAGAGAGAATGATAGCCTTCTGTGTTCCAAAACTATTAAATACAGAGGTCAGAGTGCCAATCTCATGCATTAACTTACGTATGATGAACCAGAAGCAGCAGTGATGACAGCTCATAAAAAAAACTGGCAAGCGTAAGATGGAATGACTTTTACAAAAAGGTGTTGAAAGAATAGGATGTTAAATGAAGATAGAGGATTACCTACAATAAAACTGATCACCATCTTGGGAACACTGCTGAAGGCTGAATTCCAACCATCAATGTCAGCTGGCTCTCGAGACCAACTTCCAGCCACGTGGCAGGGTACCACAGGGGGGTACAGCACCACTGTGGGCTGACTGGAAGAACAAACCCCAAGGTAGGACTGAATAACAATGCTGACTGACAGAGATGCTCTGGAGGGACAAAAAATACCAGTGACAAAAGAAAAGTTTGAGTCAGCTGGAACTAATTTTCTTAAATTCCCTTTCAGGTTGTATCATCTAAATATTTTTTTTTAGCTAAAAGAATTTATCACTCGTTGGTACATGGTATTTATCTCAATTGATCAATTACACTATTCTGGTTTTATTTATAAGAAAGGACTGATGGACTTACATGAGTTCTTTCAATTAATTTTTATTGAGTAGCCAAATCTGATAAATTAGCACAGATAAAATAAGCATTTGCATGTGTTACAAATGACTTTTTACAGGAATAAAACAGTGAAAATTACAAACTGTAAAAAGGAGGACAAGTAAATCCTGTCTCAAATTCAGAAGGGGGAAGATTTATAACTTCATACTGAAGATCAAATGTTTGAGTTCAGAAAACAAAGATTTAATATTACAGTATTATACACTACTTTACAAAATTAAATTTACTATAAGGATTACATCCATAATAGTAAACAGAACCTTAAAATCACATTTAATGGTCCCTTATTTAACAGCCATTCTGTATCTTTGATTAAATTCTGTTAAGAAATTAATTCTAAATAAAAGTGAATCATTCTAGTTATTGCAACACAGTCTATGTGGACTTAAGACTCAAATATATTAAATTAAAAAAGATAATGAAAGCAAAGGAAAATGGATGGTAACAATGTTGGCTGAACACTAATGTGCCAAATACAGAAGTAGTTTTAAAAAAAAGTCGTCAACTAGAAAAATAGAGTATATTTGCAGTGGTAGAGTTGTCATGCTGAGATCTAAGCACCAGAGCCACTCTTGCCTATTTTTGCAGTTCATCTTCAGTGTCCTCATTTTTCAACTGTATGTAAAAATCACACACCACAGGTAGTTTGTGTGTTCATCTGTCCTGTCCTGCCCTTACAGCAATACAAGGTGAACCAGCAGGCCTTTCCCTCTGCGAGGGAATAAATGAATGAAGTTCAACACAGAATTTCTTCCAAAGTGAAGAGAACTCCAAGAGAGTTTATCTGATTCTTGTTTATAACGTTTTGCTCTGTAAAACTTAGGGACTCTACTTCAGAGTTGTTAGTTGCCACAAAGACTGACATCTTTAGCCATTAGTCTGCTGTATGTAAAGCAATGAAGCCATCTCCAACGTTATGTTTTTTAAAAAAAATAAGGGATATAGTAGCAAAATACAGAGATAGTAAGAAACAGACTTCGGGTGGGCTGTTAGATGCAAGGATGATCTGATGATCTTCAACATCCGAGTGATAATACACCCAAAACACAAGTTGTAAGTCATTACCTATGCAAGTGCATAGCTTCCATTTATGGTTTAAATGAAAAGCCCCTTTCCCCCAGGAAAAAAAAAAAAACCTTCAAACTGTCAAAACTTAAAAAAACCCTCTTCACTATGACTAAAAACTGTGCAATTCTCTGAAAAGCTGTTCAAGTAAATATATTCCTGTTTGCTATGGAGGCAGCAGACAGGGAAGCTTAAATCGGTTCTGTAATAGTCTTTTCATGCTATTTTAGACATTGTTCTGAACTTTAGCTTCTTGTGCTCAAGTGACAAGAACAATTTCCCCAAAGAAACTCCTCCCCCGAAATAAGGCAACTCCTGACAATCACGTGCAGCTACAGCCTGAAATGGCAGCAAATAATTACCCTATGATGTTCTTTGACAGTTGTATCACAAAATGTAAGTTAACTAGCCTAATCACAGTACGTGTTTGACCACTCCTGTCTCACCTGTTCAAGTTACTTGCCCCAGGAAGTAGGTTTTGCGAAACCTTTAAGTTTACCACTAGTGAACAAAAAGCAAACCAAGATTTTTCCATATGAAACACTTCCACAGGCACAGGGATA